CGCCATAATTGCTTAAAGAAGATTTTTCATACAAAAAAATTCTTTTCGCTCTTAATAGAAGATGAAATACAAATGGGCTTACTCTTTGAAAACTGTTGTTAATTCTACACAGCATTTTTGATAGATTTGAATTTAAGTTGTTTCACTTCAGTTTTCAATTTACGGACTGAAATTTCGACAATTTCTAATTATATCTATTGTTTAACAATCAAAACAAATCAAGTTGTCGATTGTTTGTGTATATTCGCTGATACAGGGACTTTCATGTTTCCTAAAGACGGAAGACAAATAGTCATCCTTGGTATTTGTATCTCTGAAAACATTTCAAAAATTAGCATTAGCTACTATGACAACAAAGTTTATTTGATTTTGAGTAAAACGGTGACTGAAGACATCCCCAGAGTTGTCTTAAGTCAATTCTGTAAAACAACATACTAAAGCAAACTATTGTATACGTCAATTTAAGTCTGTAGTTAACTCATTGAGACAGGTAGACGTATGTTTAGGACACATGTTAATAGGTTCAGTTGTGTGCCGAACAATGATAAATCTAGTTACTTTAATCAGCGAGGATTGTTCTGAACGAATATATATGTAGCTATTTTACCGAATTAAACAGCTTTTTATGATAAAAAACAATTTTAAGACGAAGAAATAAATACCTTTCAAGATCACTCTACAGGAGTATAGTGCGCTGTTGTATTTTTTGTATCAGTTCTGCCCAGAACTGTGGTATAATAACTAGTCAACGGATTGCTCACGATTGTAAAAAACTGTAAACTGTAGAAAACAGCTGTTCGAAACCAAAGAGTCTTTCGGAGTCTTGACAATACTCTACACTAATAATAGCAACGTGGAGTACTCTTCTTCTTCCTTTCAAATAAATACATCGAGCTCATTTATCTTGTTTTCTTTCAAACATTAGTCAAAAAAGAGTTGCCTGCACTATATTTTGAAATGGATGATAGGATATTTGTGTTTCATAAATGTCGAATATTTCATGGTGATCTGTGAAATTCAGATACTAACATACCTATGAAAATCTCCTTGGTGGAAAAATGTAGACTTCAATGAGTTAAGTTCACGAAGTCAACACTAGATGAAGCGTGAGTAAAGTGAACTTCTATTTTTGAAAATTTAATTTCGCTGTTTTCTACACTAAAGAACAGAAAGTCCTCATTGCCTTGCAAGTACTTCATTTTCTCGCAGACCGTAGTATGAAGATGCTTTTCTAAAGACTATTTTGTTAGACGAAAACTTGTAGTAAATTCTTTTTAATTCGAAGTTGAAAGCTCCACTGTATTCATCGAAACGTTTCTGCATTTTGTGTTGAATCGCATACAATCCAGTGGATAATCTTAAAGACGTAAAACAGATATTTGAAAAAATAGGTTCTAAGTTTTTCTCTCTTGCCTGTTACCTGTTACATGATATTAATACATTTTTTTACTGTTGCCATTTTTATATCTCAGAAAAAACTATTGCCCTTTCAATCTTACAAAAAAATTACTGCTATTGTCGAAATTAATACATCAAACAAATTAGGATAGAAATATTTTCTATAGTATAAATTAAATTAATAACTGTCACTGCTAATTCCGACGTCACAATGCAGAGAGGCTGTTTGATACATCTAAGGTTCGTTTTTTGTCCAATCGACAACACCTATGACTCATGAAATATACTGTGTGTGTTTTATTTTTACTTTTGGAAGCTGTTATTTGAAGCTCACAAGAAATATACGTATTCTTTTCTCACTCTATTTTATAAAATTAGAGCACTGAAATCTGCTCATCTATACACAGAAGAGTTCAGATATCATTACCGTCTGAACGTTCACATAATGTTTGGTTTTTGGAAATTCTTCGTCTGATTTTGCGAACCAGACTTAGCCTAAAGAACTGGAGAATCAACTTTTAACACTTAATGGGATAGTTGATTCGTTGAAGGACAAATGATTATAAAGTTTCGTCATCGTTCTAGTCTGAACTTGATTTCTACGTTTTTTGTTAAAATTAAACGTACAAAAATCACTATTTGTTTGAACAACTTAGTCTACGCTGCAAAGTTAATATTTATGTTGAGATATTACTCTTGTTGTTTAAAATATCGATTTGACTTTGAGTTGCTTATTGTTTACCTAGATAGAAGATTCTATTCTTAATATAAAATAATGTCGAAAGTACAAAGACAACGTGTTCAAACATTTGGTCGAAAGAAAACAGCAACTGCCGTTGCCGTTTGTCAAGCGGGTACTCAAGAAAACAACTAATTTTGTCACTTCTTGAATAATAATCTTGTTTTTGTTTAGGTCACGGTTCGATCCGTGTGAATGGTCGTCCACTTCATTTAGTTGAACCACAAGTATTACGTTTTAAATTAGAAGAACCAATATATCTTCTTGGAAAAGAAAAATTTTCAAATGTTGATATTCGTGTACGTGTTAAGGGTGGTGGAAGAATTGCACAAATTTATGCTATTCGACAAGCATTAGCCAAATCATTAGTGGCCTATACACAAAAATTTGTTGACGAAGCAACTAAAAAACAAATTAAAGATACACTTGTACAATATGATCGATCGTTACTCGTTGCTGATCCAAGACGTTGTGAACCGAAAAAGTTTGGTGGACCGGGTGCACGTGCAAAATATCAAAAATCATATCGTTAAACAAACAACAACAACAACAACAACAACAACAACAAAAAGATCAATATGTTACATCGACAAAAATTGTGTTTTTGTCTATTTTTCTTTTTCCGTTAAATTTGTTTTTGTTTAAAAACAGGGATGTAATGATGATAATATAATAAATAAAACGAAGATCCTTTGACGGCAGCATATAACCTTTTATCTCATTAGAAATATGTGGTCAATTAATACTCATATGTATATTCACAAACATCTAGAAAATTGAAGCTATGCAGGTTAAAATTCTTCTGAGCAGACACTCTCTACAGTTAAGCAAATTTTCTAGGTATTGCTCCAATTTGAGTATTTAACTGTAGAACAACAATCAAATATTTTTTTCAGGCTCACCTGATCTTTTTTGCATTCATTTTTCTTACCTAAACAGACATTTGATCGAACTTTTCTAAACTTGTTTTCATAATTTGTATGTTTATTACTTTATTTTAGATTTTGTGTACTTTGAAAAGACTTCGTTTATCCGAAAGTCGTCTTATATTGATAATCAATGTTCAATTTATTTTCATTGTAATCTTATTACATTGAGTCTAAGATATCTTAGCAACCATCGTGCGCTTGAATATCAACGTTTTGAATAATGATATGAACAAAAGTGTTGTGAGTTCTAATTCTTACATGATAATCGTTCTGAATCATATAAAAAATCATTTCAGTGGCATGAAAGATGATTAGAAAAATTAAAACAAATCGTAGAAAAATGCTCTCAGGGTGCATGACCAGTGCTGATAAAAACTTTTTTTTGTAGGAAATCACGTCATCTGTTCATTTAACGTCTCTTTAGCATTTTATCAATGTTCGTACTAAAAATATTAGTTTTAGCGTATAGTACCAGGAATGTAAACAATATCTTCAATAGATAAGTAAGCATGATTATTGAATCGTGCTGACTGCCAAGCACTTTGATTCCTTTTTCTACGATTGGTTGCTCTTGTTTTCATTTAATGTTTCGTTACTTTTTCTGAATTATGTTATTGATTTCACTTGACTGTTGTTCAAAACGTTATCAAATAAAATTAGTTTAGTATATTCTTCTTTTTTTTTAGTCTATAATATGCTGTACTTCATGCTAAAACTTGAGACTTGAGAAATTCTATTTTGTTATAGATAATGAACATATCACCGAATAGTATTTTTATTCGTGATTCAACTGGCCTGAGAACAGATCGATTACAAACGTTATTAAGTAAAAGTGCTCATCGACAAAGTGTTAATAATGATAAAAAATTAACTAAAACAAAAATAATATTTCTCATTCTATTGATATTTCTTATATACGTTATAGTGTAAGAAAAGAAATATACTTTTGTGTATAATAAACGTTTTATTTTATTTTCTTCTTATATCGTTTTAGTCCAAATAGTTATGTGTATTTGTTCAAAAAAACTTGGAATGCAAGTAAGTTAAGTTAAATATCTTGTGAAAATACTCTTATTTTGTTTTATTTTAGAACGTTTGATATTATCAGCATGTTTTCTTTATCTTATACGTATTATTCTCCATTATTTTAATGTATCATTAGAAAAATATGTATTTTTAACACAAAAAGAACTAAAGCAACTTGGCTTCATTTATCCAGGTAAATAACTCAACTTTTTTTTCATATTTTGATCTGTTTTTAATTCGTTTTGTTTCTTTTTCTAGAACCAGGATTTGTCGTTTGTGATGATCCATTATTATCAGAAGCTGTGTATGAAAGACAAAAACGCATTAAGCAGATATTAGAATGGCTTTCTTCAAAATTATCAAAAACATCAAGTAAATCTATGATTTTATTTTTATTTCATATTCATTATCGATAAATTATTTTTTAGTTTATAATCCTTTACAAAAACCACCACTTGTTCCTTCACTTCCACCACGTGTTCTAACTGCTACATTAGCCGAACGAGCAGCACACTTTATCGGAGGTAAACAACACATTACAACGAGTAGTCCAATTGTTCAATATGTATGTAAAAATACTGGCTAATTTTGAACATGATATCATTACTTAACTTTCTATAGAATAATGATTTTATAATAAATGAGAATAGAACTTCACCAATAATAGATCCAGTTTCGATATTAAGAAATAGTGTACAATGGTTTTCATCACCCGGTAAATCGAGATTTAAAAAATTGTTTTACTTTCTTTTAATAAAATCATTTATCTTGTTTTTAGATTCTTCGTCTGCTGTAAACTTAAGTGATTGTTCACGTCATCTACATGAATTAGAACGAGAAATACAAGATATGTCAACAAGTAGTAGAAGTTTCAATGATTGTAAGTTATTTTTTGTATCTGTTTTATTTTAATGCTATTTTCTTTACGACAAGGACTTTCTCTATGAAACAAGACAAATATTTTTTCCACAAAATTGTTAATAAACATAATTATTCTTCGTGTTAAAATCCACGATCTGATTTGTCTCACAATTACCATCTTGTTTTAGCGTACCAATCAACAAATTTATCGACATCAATGAATGAAATAGTTCAAGACCTGAAATCTCGATCATATCAGTTAGCATTACGACCATCTAGTAGTCAAAGTGGTTCAACGGTTGTCGATGATGATATAAACAAATCATTTTATAAACGAGTTGTTGGTCAAAGTGGAGCTCAAAATGCTATTGTAAGTTAAAAAACATATCACGATTGTTTTTATATCATACACACATACATATAATTTTTATTCTGTCAGACTTGGAGAAAAGTTCGAATAGATGGTCCAATGCTGTTTACATGGCGTGAAAATATGAGAAAGGTATAGTTAACTACTTACACTACAATTGAAAATAAAATATTATTTGATGTTTTATATATTTTTCACAGTGGCTTACTAAAACAATTCTTATGCCGTTGATTCTTGAAACGGAAGCATTAAATCAATCTTTTCTGCAGCAAGGATTACCCGATATTGCTATTGGAAGTATGTACCATGCTTATGAAAGTGTAAAAGTAGTCAATGTCTTTTCTAATTTTAGAAACATCTGTAAATGAATTACGTTCTTATTCTAAAACGTGTACAATACAATCAATTGTTATACAATTAAATCAAATTATACGTTATTTTGAATTAAATCCTAATCAAGAATATTTATTAGAAAGAATACGAGGTAAATTTTACTTTTATTTGAATAAAAATTTAGATAAAATATTTTGTGTTAGTCTGATGAGATGTATGTTCTATGATTTCAATTAATTACTCTCTATCATTGTTTACTTACATTACTAAATCGTATGTTTTTATATTTATTAACTAGATTTATCTCGTACATATTTATCAGATTACAATTGGAAAGGTGGCTCATCATTTTATTTAAAAAATAATCTTTCATGGTCCGATCAATTACCTACAGATACCGAGCTAGTATTTCATTTATTTTGTACATATTTTGATAGTAAATTTTCGGCTGATCCACGATATTTGGATGGAAAAATATTTAAAGGAAATTATGTTATAAAACAGTCTCAATTAAACAGTATGTTTATCTGAAATATTCAAATCTTTAATTAACAGATTAAATAACATCCTATTTTCTTTTAAAGATATTGTTCGGTATCCAATAGCCATTTATGTTTATCAAGAAAAACCTCCCGTATATAAAGTTCTCTGCAATGGTGATATTTATGACGTGCCAGCGGTATGATAATTTTTGTTCTTTAGATTGTATATGCGTTAAAAAAGACTGTTGAATATTTGGTGTTTTATTTCCTAGGGTAATCATAATTTGCTTGATTCATTACTTATGTTTGTCGATTGCGTCAAAGTTTATAAAAATGGTCATCTCGGGTGAGTGAATAAATGTTAAAATTTTATTAAAATTTTTATTGAATTTACAAATTGTATCATTTAGACCTGTGAATTTCGACTCTAGTGGAGTGGATCTTTTGTGGACCGTATCGTCGAATCTCTAATTGTTTTTGTCCAGATAAATAAGTAATTTTTTTTTTTATTGTTTTTGAAATTAATAAATAATACTTTTGTTTATGTAATTGTACTTTTTTTCGATTAATCATCAGTTCAGATACTTTTTGTATTGTTGTATACCAATAATAGACAAAAAAAGTCACGTGTAAATAAAAAAAATCCACGTGCTATGATACTTATGAAAATTTTGTAATTTGTACCAAGTTCTTAGTAGAATCAATTGGTTTATGAATCCTACAACAAGACGAAAATTATTGATGTCCATTATCACCTGTTCATTGAAAAATAATATAACTGATCAATTTTTGACGTCATGAGTAGAATTTAAACGAATGATGACATCTTCATATTAGATGACAAGATTTAAATTCATAATCCAACTTTCCTATATAGAAAGTTTACACTTTTCAAAATGCAAGACAAGAAATAAATCACTTTCTCTTTCTAACAGCTATATATAACTAAACTACATGAATTTTGAAAAAAAAACGATAAAAAAAAGTTTATTTGATTCAATGACAAATTTATGTTAGGGAAAGACGTATTCATCAATAGAAAATCTATTTACTATTTTTTTGTTTTACCTAAACTGTAAGACGAACATTTTATCTCAGATATAGAATGAGCAAATTAACTTTTTTTGCCTTAGCAGCCTGTTTTGTATGCAATAAGAGAAATATAGAAAGAATGTCTCTAATCATTCAATTACTCTTTCGAACAATTGTTTATTGATAAACAAGAGTACCCCTACGTGTGTCTAATCATTTGAAGTTCATGTCACGATCCATTCTTTTGTCATCATCATCCATCTATTCATAAACATAAGACTAGTGACGTTTACTATACATACATATTTACCAAATAAGTCTACAGTTGAATTAGAATATTCCATTTATTAAACGAAAATCTTTTTTTTCTATTGAAGTATAGTTGATAAGTTAATCTAACATGCAATACAACCATAAAAAAAAAATAAAAGCAATAAATAAACCTTCTCCTATGATACGATCGATCATAAGAGTTACTAAATAGTTTACGAAAAATATAAAACACCTTTTAAATATCATCTACATAATGCTATTTCATGTCATTCGTCTAGATTAGTATTAATTGAACAATAATTATTATTTCTATCTTTTCTCTATTGAGTCTATGTACGATTATTCTGAGTTTATATTTTTTTCTCTATTTCTTGTAATTCATTAATATCAATTGTTTAAATCAAGAATGGAAAACATTTCTCTTTTGCTTTTCCGCCTATTTGTTCAACGACCACTGTGCATATATTTGATACCTCCCAATTCTTCTTTTTTTCACTATTTTTATCATAATTTTGCAATAAAAAAAAAAAAAAAGAAGGGAAAATATTCTTTTTATTTACATAAGGTTTTTTCATGATGTTTAGATGTGATACATCTTCACATTGAGTACCGGTAAAAATACTTTCGATAAACAAATATCTCAACATTATATAAACAGTCAAAAAAAAAAAAAAACGCTAAATCTAGAAAAAAAATTATTATTGTAAAAACTTGGTTCATGATCTAAGATTACGAAACAGAGAGACACACATACACAAACTGATTCAGAAAAATGGTACGTACGCTGTTTTCAATGTGATTAATTGTTTTCTTAAAGAGTTTCTATCTAGAAAAAAATCTCAGTTATCAATATAAAAGTTTTACACAGCTTTTTATTCTTGAATATTCGTTCGCATTAGCAATGGATGAGCACAAAATAAACTTGCATTTTAATACTACGTTAAATTGTCTTATTTTTCTGACGTACTTTAGAACTACGATCTTATTCGTAAATATTTTGGAGTTATCATAGTCATTATTGCATTTGTTAGTCGATGTATTTTTGTTGGTTTCTGTTGGAGTTATGGTACCGTTATTGATGAATGGAAGAAAACAAATTCAACATTGACAGATACTGAGCTGAGTATGTAGAAGAGGAACATATTTTCAATTAGCAATCATTTTTTATATATTAGGTTGGATAGGAAGTTTTGGTCAAAGTTTAGGTGGTGCATTTGCACCATTGATACTTTATTTAGCAACACGTTTTGGATATCAAACAATATTTATTTTATCCTTATTAACATGTTCATTGTCACTTTTGATCTCATCGACTGTCAAAAATATTCATTTGCTCTTTTTAACCTATTCAATACCATATGGTTTTGCAAATGCATCATTATTTATTGTTGGTACACTTTTGACTGGCATCTATTATCCACCAGGACATGAATATCATTTATTAACCATGTGCATCATTTCAGCAGGTTTTCCCATTGGATATCATATAATGAGTGCGGTTATGTTTAAATGGATTCAAAATGATGGATGGATGATAATGAAACGTCGAACTGGAATATTAGAATTATTTTTAACCATTATACTTGGACCATTATTTTCAACAAAATGTATTTTAATGCCACAAATTAATATAGAACCGGAGAGAAACAGATCGACAATGGCTATACGCAAGTTTTTTTCAAAAAAAATGATTTATTGGATGATTGGAATATTTACTGCAATGTGTTCAATTAATAATTTTTTATTACATCTTGTATGTAGCGTAATTTAACTTCTCTTGCTCTCAATTTTAATTATTTTATGTGTTTTAGCACACACAGCTTGAAGTAGTGAGTATCTCGCCATCGAAAGCAGATTTATGGTTTCGATTACATGGATTATTTGATGCTCTATTTCGTTTTTCCATACCGTTCATCTTAAAATTTTGTTCAATTAAAATTATTTATTTATTTCCTGCTGCTGCATTTTTTGGCATGTGCTTACTTATCTTCACATTTGCCTTGTTATATAGTCAATATGCATCACTGTCTATTATATTCATCAGTCGTATGTATCTCTATTATTGTCTACCCAAAAAATAAGTAACTGTGACTAGATTTTGAATAACTTTTGATTAAATATAGCTAAAGTCATGCAAAACGAGGAAATCATTGCATCTCTTCGTAAAAGAAGAAAAAGATTTAAAAATCATTCTCGAGAGTAGGTCTTCTAAAGTATATTTGGAAAATTTCTCTAGATAGCCAAAAATTCATGTAGAAATGTGTTGCTTTTTAAATGCATAGATAGTCCAACGTGTCTTTTTGAATTAAAGCTACGTAACATACCTTTAAAGTTTCAAAGTGCGAAAAGTATCTATGTATAATTCTGAAGTTTTTCAGAAAAAATTTAAGAAGACCTACGCCATTTTTGTTGAATTTGCAGTACTTCTAGGTCTATCAACGTGAAAAAGTTAAAATAGAGTATCGTATCAACGTGAAGAGTTGCTTCATTTAGAGTTTCGGAAAAGTGTCTTTTCGTATTCAGCACAGTCGATAACTTCGAAGATTTTTTATTTTTGGCGAGGAGTATTGTCAAAAATTTAGGAAAATTTTTCGAACAAAATGGCGAATTTTCATCGGAAAATAATATTAGTTTCAAAATTTTTCTTAAGCGTTTGGTAGTACTCGCTAAAAAATAGAAAATCTACTGGGTTATCGACTGTTCAGAATATGAAAAGACACTTTTCCGCGGCTTTACATGAGCTTTATTTTTCTGTCGGTGATATGATTTTGTAGTTTTAAAGTGATTTTCAAATCTTTTTCTTCTTTTACGATAAGATGCGATGAAGTTTTCGCTTTTTGAATGGCAAAACGACAGTTCTTTAGCTCTCTTCAATCAAAAGTTATTCAAAAACATACTCGCAGTTAAACTTACTTATTTTTTGGGTAGCCAACAGTTGAGTAATAAAAATATTCATCCTATGTCTTTCTCTAGTGTTTGGGTTTACGTCAGCTGTCATTACATCACTCCAATATACCGTATCAAGCAAATTGTTTGATCGTGAATTTACAGAACAAGGCTATTGTTATCATGTAATAATAACGAGCTTAGGCACCATTTTTGGTCCTATTATTGGTGGTAAGAACTATTCTATCATGACAATTTGAACATGCTCTATTTTTAAGTTTTTTCTACAGGTATTCTCTTGGATTTTACGGGCAGCTATAAAGTGTTAATTCCAGTATCAATTACTTTATTATTCATCAGCTTTGTAGGTTTTACAGCATATATTTTATTAGATAGTGATTTTCCCGATTCAACTTGTCATCATCATCCTCAAACACAATCTGCTCCTGATAATATCGAACAAAATCGTATTACAGAAAAAATGAATCAAGTTTATGATAATATCGGTTATGGGACATAAAGATGCGCATATCATACTCTTTCTTGGTTATTTATTACACTTGGTAATTTCTTCACCCCCGTATCCACAGAAAATGACACTTGAATAGGAGATGACAAGGTATCAGTGCAACAAGGCGGTGTGGTTACTTGGACTCCCCCACCACAGACACATTTACAATCTAGACCATATTTTGGTTTTGCTATATCTTTCACAATTTGACGAAATTGCGGTGCGCCGATATCACATGTAGCATTTGGTGTGTATTTTTGTTTAACACCACAACATGAACAGTGGCAGTCTAGAAAATTTAATGAAAAACGTTCATCTTTTTGTTCACATCCCATTTTATGAAATGATTATCTCTTCTAATTAAATTATAGATTATTCAAGAAAATTAGAAGTATTCGATTTTGACAAGTTTGAAAAAAATGCTTGGCGCCTTAAGATTTTAACATAGAAAACTTGTATACTTGAAGATGTTAAGAAAAAACTCGGAACGATATCGAGACTTAATTAAAATTTTAGCAATGAATTGATGAATTTGAGACCGATTTAAAAATACTGTCAACTACACATTACTTTGAGTGATTTTATACTCTTAATCAAGCTCTTATAGGATACGTCAGTGTTCTTGGTTACCAACATCGACATTTTGCTGAGATAATAGTGACGCATTTCTTGTTGCATCTACCACAAATCGGAAATGTTCATATCCACTAGTTTCCATATTACACTCTTCTAAATTAGAAATACAACTATTAACAATATTGTCAATTCGTTTTTGTTGTAAATTTTCCATTCCTTTTGTCGGGAATCCAAATGAAATACGACCATCCATCGGTTGAAATTGTGTTTCTAGTACAGACCATCTTTTTGTTGAACGAAAGCGTTTAATAGCGTTTAATGCTGCTTGTTGTTGCTGTTTTGACTGAAATATTTCACGTGCTGTAGGTACGTTGGGTTTTAATATCGGCAAACGACAATGATAAACTGTTCGTTTTCGTTTATCATTCACTTTCCCAGCATCCAAACTTTCGTGTTGAAATGATGAAAATGAATTTTCGTATAGCGGTTCACGTGTATCGCCTGCATTGATATCAAGAAGATTTCGAATACGTGCACGTTGTAATGCTACATTTGAGCTACGATGAATACGTTTAGCATCGTTTCTGACATGAAGACGTTGACGACGAAGTTCCACGAGTCGTTCAACTTGCTGATGATCAATTAAATTTTTAAACTGCGCCAATAAATGACGTTGTCTTTCGAACTCAGCAAACAATTCTCGACGCGCTTTTGATCCTCTACTTCCATCATACCTTTAAGAACAAAACATAGGAAATTCAGTATTTTGTGATGTATACTTACGAGGGACACTATTCTACTGTAACACTCCTTTTTCAATCGTTCATACGTCAATCGACAGAGCGTATCGGGATAGTAAAAAGCCTAAAAGGCTTCGTGCCAATGACTCTTGAAGACCCAGTTTTCTGGCAAACCAGTTTTTCAGAAACTCTGAAAAATAATTAAAACATTTCCTTAGTAAGACATGATTGTAGCCCGCAAATTTCTGATTAAAATGAGACATCTCCCAGCTCTGCACGACCTTTCTTTGCAAAGTTATAGAATGTACAACAAAAGCCCGAAATGTTCATTCTCACGAGGGAACATTCCCAGGTGCCCCGCTCCGATTTCATTCGTTCATGCATCATTCGATAGGGAGTCTCGAGTAGATAAAAGCTTAAAAGGATATCGGCTGACGACTCTTTAAGACCCGGTTTCCTGGAAAACCAGTTTTTCAGAAACTCTAACAGAATAACCAAAACCTTTGTTAATGAGACATGATTGTAGCCCGCGCAAATATAAAAAAAATGAGAAAAAAACCCCCC